GCCGGTGCTGCTCTTTTGGTCTATTCTAGTTGAGACATTACTTCCTGGTATCTCTCGTTGGTCTGAAAGTTGATCCCAGGGGTTGAGTTCAGTTCAAGCTTGAAGGGTATGCAAGTGGGAAGGTTGAAGGTGAAGCTGGTATCACAGATTTGATCAACTTTTTTGGAATGGGGCCAGATGTTATCCTAAGACCAATCAAGACATTTCTCATAATAGGCAGACGGGTTCCAAAAGAATGAATCTGAATTTTAAAACAGTCCTATTTGTAGCATAGTGACTACAAGTCAGGTTGCTAACATCAAGGTCAACAGTTTGAAACTATCAGCCATTCCATGGGAAAAATATGAGGCTTTCTGTTCCTGTTAAGATTTGTAACCTAGGAAATCATACACAGGGTCGCTATGAGTTGGAACTGACTCCATAGCACACAACCACCACCACCATTGTAGATGTACACTCCTGATGTGGTGCTGTAGGATCAGCACTGGACTGCGAACCCCAAGGTCAGCAGTTCAAATCCACCAGCTGCTGCTTGGAAACCCTATACAGGGTTGCTATGAATTGGAACCGAATTGACAGCACTGAACATCAACATCAACATACTTGTAGATGTGTTTTGGTTCAAAGAATTTCTTTTAAACACTCATGGATAAATTGCTGATTGTATCTGGGAGAATGTGTTGTGTTAACTGAATGGAAATGTTACTAATAAGAATTTGCATTATTGTTACAAATAAAACTTCCTATGTATGTTAATAGGATAGTTGAGAGATGTTGCATGACAGTATGCTTGTATCGTAAAAATGTATCTAAAAATTTGGAGAGTTATTGTTAATATTTAATTTAGTTCTAGTCATAATGATTAACTTCTATGGTTTCCAAAGTATACAGCCTTGCAAACAATTGTGATGGACTTCACACCTCATTCACTGTCTTTTTCTTCCTGTTGGTAACTGTGTCTCTTTGTGCTATTTCTCCCTCTAGAGTCTCAGTTTAGGAGGGAAGCTAAAGCTTTCCAAAAGCTAAGAGAACATCAGAAGCAAATGAGAAGAAAAAAACTAAAGAATTATAACCACAAGTGAGAAAATAGTATTGTTTTAATTATAACATTTCCTGAAGAGATTGAGCACTGTATGTGCAAACTTTAGTCAAACAATTTACAAATGTGTTTGCAACTGTCAAATGTTATTATCAGAATAAACAATTTCACAACTTCCGTAGACCTTTAATTCCAGTGCTCTGAATTTAGTTAGGCCGCATGGCATTAAAAATAGAGCTGTGCAATTAATATTTTATTGTGTGTACGTGTGATCATGATTTTTATACTTAAAAATTTTACAGTGTGGTTAAGAGAAGAAGAAATAGCTAATATATATTTATATCATATCTATTCCTTAAAGAAGTATGAAGACTGTGTAGATATGCATAACTGAAGGGGAGGGAGTTCGTCATATTGTACAGAAATGTTGGCCAAGAATATTGTCATAATTTCCAGATGGGTAAAAATATAGCCATTGGGAGAGTAATTCTAGGAGTGCTTGACATTAAGGTATGTTACCTTCATATAGAGTGGGGAGGCAAAATCATGTGGGAATTGCATATTAAATGCAGGGAGAAAGTGATGTATAAAGATGTATTGTTACAAATGAATATGATAATCTAATGAATTAAGAGTTTGGATGGGATGTATGGTTTGCCGTGAGGATTTTCATGGATAAGTGGGTATGCCTAGTGTATATACCTTAAAAATTATAGACTCATTTGGAGTGTGCCATATACCTCTAGGAACATTGCAATTATTGGGAAAACTTTTATTGTATAGCTATCTGGAAAATGATTTCATTGAATGGACCTCATCACTCTATACATTTGTCTCCTTGCTCCTGCATCCAATTTCATTGGGCTGCTAGGTGTTCATAAGTTTAACTCTTCAAACTGTCCATGCTCAAACACAACAGATGATGAGAATTTGGCTCTGGAAATGCCAAACACACACACAAAAGTCGTATTGAAGGATGACTGCTATATAATCAACTAAGTATGTCATCCTGGTGCAAGGAGATAAGCACGGATTTGAGTTACTGGGTGTAGGTGTATTTATTTGGCTATACGCCTATAGTTGAATGTAGCCCACTGTGAGCACCTCCAAGTGGTGATATTTGCATGTTGTTGTTATGTGCCGTGGAGTTGATTCTGACTCATAGCGACCCTGTACAGGGTTTCCGAGGCTGTAAATCTTTATGGGAGCAGAAAGCCTCATCTTTCTTCTGTGGAACGGCTGGTAGTTTTGAACTGCTGACCTTGTGGTTCACAGCCCGATTTGTAACCAGTATGCTACCAGAGCTTGTATACATGGACTTTAAATTTCTTCCTTTAGTATGTTTTAGGAGCCTTGGTGGTGAAGTGGTTAAGCACTTGGCAGCTAATGCAAAGGTTGCCGATTTGAACAAAGAGGCTGCTCTACAGGAGAAAGATGTGGCAGTTCTACTCTGTAATCTAGGGTCGCAATGCATCAGAAATAGTCTGCTGGTCAGTGGGCTTGATTTAGTCAGTGTGTTTCATGGGTGTGCAGTTTGGTTTCTAGGCAGAGTTCACATGTCTGAGCTGGTTGTTGACTGATCCTTTCCTCCACTTGTACTATGATGAGACAGATTATACTCACGGATCTACTCCCCAGAGAGCCAAACTTGTCAAACTGGCTGTTCCCTGAATGAAAATAATTATATCTGATAATGCAATGATAGGAAGCAAAAGGACAGAAGAATGAGAATGGTAGAGAGAAATTTTCAAATAGCTTCTGAATTCTAGCTGAGCTAATGCTTTATTTTCAAGACTCCCTTTGCTTCACCCTGTCATTGCTCCTGGTTTCTTGTCCAATTGCTAGTGTCTTTTCTTCCAGTACTGTAATCTCTCTGCTTCTACATAGAATTGTGGAAATTTTCTCAACTAATATTTCTTCGTACCGTACCTTCTTGACTTACAAACTAGAGAAGATGGACTTTGCTGTTTAACTTTTTATTGACTTAGACCTTTGCTGTGTACAGATCTTTTAAGTGCTTCCTTCCTTCACAAGTTTTCTCTCTAGGCAGCTCCTTTGCTTACTTGGCCTTCTATCAAACAACCACACACTGGTCTCTGAGTTGTAAGGGAATTGTTCCTTTAACTCCCTATGTATAAGATCATAAAGCTCCAGGAAGAGAGAAAAAAAGGCGTGAGACAGGAGGTGCAGTGTTTCTGTACTTGTTTCAGGCACTGAGAGATTCTACCTCAATAAGTAACACTGTGACTTTTAGTCCCAATACTTAATGATTACAATTATCTATCAACAATAGTATCATATAGTATAATATCGTATGTTATTATTACGTGCTGTATAGTCAGTTCTGACTCATAGCATTCCTGTGTAAAGTTTCTGAGGAGTAGCAGGTGTGTCTTAACTGCCAGTCTTTTGGCTAGCAGTCCACTGCTTATCCTACAGCACCACACAGAGTACTGTTAGACATGGAAAAGACTATAGAATTCCTGTTCATGAAAGTGACATTCTCTCTGTATTTTTTGTCATTCATAAACCTATTGGGGACATGCTGTCTTTGTAAAACAAGGAGTACTTTGAAAATCTTTTAAACTCTTTAATTTTCTTGTGCTTAAAATATTGAAGGAGCTGAAAATATGTTACACACTTGTTGGGAACTGTAATTTCCTTCTAATAAAAAGCATACATTTTACATACATACATATATGTTGTTGTTAAGTGCTGTTGAATGGGTTCTGACTCATAGCAACCCTGTATAGGGTTTCTGAGGCTTTAAATCTTCCTAGGAATAGAAAACCTCATCTAATAATTACAGCCTTCTTGAAGAAAAATTGTAATTATCTAGACAGAGAAGGATGTGGTAGAAAGATTTTTATAGTATGCTGTTTTATGTTTTGATTTGGAAACCATATGGGTATGTATTCTTTTTACTTAAAAGAGACAAAGAGAAGACAGTTTGTTACTGATACTCTTAAACTCTGTATAGTAGTAAGACTATGTTGTGTGCCTATGTCTGGTTCTCGGGATATCTCCTTGGACTCTGAGAGCTGTAGAATTAAGTTGTTTTTATTCATAAATGCTGCCTGTTCATTGGTTGTGAGCATGCAGAGATGAGACATTTCACAAGAAGAAAATCAGTGTGTAACTCATCTCTCTTGAAATCTGTCCACTATTTATTCCTTGTCTGAATTAACTTTGTATAGAAATGAAAATGAAATGTTTTGTTTAACAAATAAGTGATGCACAGCTAAAGAAAATTAGGCATGCTCAGTGACTATAGTGAATTCAGAGCTTGTCTATATAAACCATGAGACCACAATTGTTAGAGCAGTTAAAAAATACAAAGGGGCTTCAAAAAGTCTGTGAAAAAACTCCATTATCTTTTCATTCTAATTTTCCATGAACTTTTTGAAGCCCTCTTGTACGTACTTCAGTATGGTGGTAGGAGTCCCGTGTGTGTGTGTGTGTGTGTGTGTGTGTGTGTGTGTTGGGATGGGCAGGGTGAATATTGGTTTCACAGTAATTTTTCTAACAATTCAATGAAAGGAAAAGATCACATAACTACTCTCCTTTCTGAATAATGTTGTTGTTGTTAAGTGCCACCGAGTCAGTTTTGACTCATAGCAACCCTGTAGAGGAGTGGCTGGTAAGCTTGAGCACTGATCTTGCAGTTCAAACTGACCTTGTAGTCCAGTATATTAACCTGAAGCACCAAACTAGGACTCCAGTAAATTTCAGGGGGGAAACAATCTTATCAGCCTATGTATCAGGCAGGTGGAACGAGATGAACGAATGGTTCGGAGCACTCCAGCTAGCCATTTACTTGATGACTAGGTATTTGTCAAGGTGTTTAAAAAGGCTGTGTGTTCCACTTTAATTTTTTTCAGAATCACTCAATCCTTAGGAGTTACAGCTGTGCCCTATGTATTCTCTGTGGGTCTAGCACAGAAGTGACAGTCCTGTGGCAATGAAAGGTGAGAGGGGGATGTCCCGGACACTACTGGAATGCAGTCTCACTGACAAATTGTGTGGTAAGTACAGATTACAAATCCTACGAGTTTAAAGTTATAGCAATATAACCATATCAAGATCTAGATCAAGACTAGAATACAGTCTTGCTAGGTTCTGGAAGGAGGATTATATGGTTTTTCATTGAAATTAAGACCACAGTAATAGAAGAATGGGTCTAGAGGCCATTGTCTTTAAAAGGGGAGCATGTAACAATCAGATTCAGATGCCGTATCTTCTATCTCGGTAATTCAAATGATAGCAGAGGTATCGGGCATACATGATGGGCTAAGAAATAGTGTCATTGTAGAGTTGCTCAGAAGAGTGGCTCCATTGAATGGAAGTAGAGGAGAAGAAGACTAGGGTGGATTATGGGAACATCAGATCAAGCTTCTTCTTCATACACTTTTTCTTTGTGCTTGCCTACCTAGTTGTCCGGGAAGAGCAGTATGAGATTATCATTGTCCCAACCCTCCTGGTTGGTGTCTTTCTCATCCTTCTTGGGATTATCCTGTGGCTATTTATCCGAGGACAAAGGGTCCAACAACAGACTTCTGGACTCCAAGGTAAAGCTCCAAGATTGGGGCTGGACAGGAAGACAAGCTCCTACATTGGCTTCCTTGCTCTTTTCCCAGTATACCAAGTGTATCACTCATTTCTCAATGTCTTTGTACTTCTTGTTCCCTTTGTGCACAATGGCACAATACGTTTCCTGATAACAGCATGAGTGTCCTATTTTCAGAGTAGCCTTCCCTAACTGTCAAATATAAAATAGTATCATGGGCACTTCTTATTCTTATTCTGTATTATTTTCCTCCATAACACTCATTGCTTAATATATTACTATCTTCTTCATCTCTCCTACCACTAGAAAGTGATCCTCATGAGAAACTAGACTTTGTCTGTTCCCACTGCACAGAACATTGTCTGGACTGTAGTAGGTGATACTTGTTGATTGAGTGGGTGAATGAATGAATGTGATTTAAAAAGAATGAACCCCTCTTTTCTGACTGAAGAAAAGTCCATTTTGGCTAAAAAGGAGGTAAGTACCAGGAGACTTTGTTGAACATCGCCCTAGGAAATATAGAATAGTCTGACTTTTGGGACAACTTGAAGAAGCAAGAACAACCATAAGTTAGAGGTGACTAGCTTCTATAATGTCCTTTCACCTTTGGAAGGTCAATTGATGGACTTAAATAATATCGACTTCAGTTACCACTATCTTTAAGCATCTGTGGTTTGAGTACCTATCCAGAAACTTCCTTAAATGTCTTCATGTTATACCCATGGGATATATGAAACAGTAATCCTGAGGAAGACTAAAAGAAAATGTCATTACTACTTTCCAGGGGCCCATCGTATGTTGTTTTAGAAATAACAAAGTTGGTATTGATGTTAGTTCATGGAGAAACATGCAAAGACATTTCCATATTGGCCACAAAGGAAATTGCGGAGGCAGCATCCTTGTCAGATTGTTCAGGCTCTGTGTTTCTGGAATCCCAAGGACAGGAAGAAGCTGGTTGATGTCATCTCTTTGTTCTAGGCATTAGTCCCATACCTTCATCTAGGGGTATTGGCTGGGAAGCAGCTGGTCTTGGGAACAATGTGTTTGTGCAACTTGAGACATCAGTGGAAAGTCTTCTACGAGCTACCACACCTGCCTTAGCTAAACTACAGGTGCCCCGGGAGCAGCTGTCTGAAGTTCTGGAGCAGATCCACAATGGTAGCTGTGGGGCCATCTATCGAGCCAAGATGCACACCAGTGACCCTGCTAAATCCAAGACTGTTGTACTCAAGGCTTTAAGAGGTAAAATAAGAGAAGTTAGACTTCATTTCCCCAAGTTACTTTTGAACTCTGAGTCCCTATCAGTGAATGTTAACAAGCTTTGGAAACATTAAGTTAATCAACAGTTATTATTACAATTACATACAAAATTATGGAATAGAGATGACCTTTCTACCCTAGCTCATCCTTCCATCTTATTTTTCCCTATAATACTCATCATCTGATGAATTATTGTTTGCTTGCTCTTTCCTACTACTACAAAGTAATTGCCATGAAAGTATGGACTTTGCCTATTCTTAATGTCTAGAACACATATAAAGTAGGTAGTATTTGTTGTTAGAACTGAGTTTTCCATATTTAATGTTAGTTGGATTTGGATTCTGAGGTTATTTTTCTTGCTCATTTAATCCTTTCTCTGATACTATATTTCTTATTTTTTGCTGATTCTAATGATGCACATCATTAATAGTGAATGCATAGAAAAGAACAAGGTTAAGGATAAACAAGAATATTAATCAAAAGTCCTAGAGAGTGGTAATACTTTAATGCCAACTTAACACTTGTCTACTTAGGCAGACCAAGTTCTATCCGGTTCTAAGATTTATGATTCTGTATACTCTTTGACTAAGGGTCAGTAACATTTGGGATTTCACCTTCTTACACTTGGTCCATTTTCATTTAACTCTTTTGTCCACACTTACCTCCTTGCGGACCCTTGAGAATTCCCATCTGAAGTTGCTTGCTTCCTGTTCCATGCCTCTGACTGCTTACTGTCCCTGGGTCTCTTGTCCTCCACAGAACCAGCTGGTCTCCATGAGGTACAGGATTTCTTAGGGCGAATCCAATTCTATCAGTACCTGGGGAATCACAAGAACCTGGTACAACTGGAAGGCTGCTGCACAGAAGAGCTACCCCTCTACATGGTGTTGGAAGATGTGACCCCGGGGGACCTGCTCAGCTTTCTCTGGACCTGCCGCAGGGTGAGCAGTAGGGTAGAGGTGTTAGGAGAAAAAGGGTTGATTTGGCTGGTTAGCTGTTGACATGTCCTTTAGTCTGGCAAACAACAGAGTGTGTATGAGCAGCAGCATCTAATATAACTTCTGAGATGACAGAAATGTTCTATATCTGCTCTGTCCAATGTGGTAGTCACTAGCCACATGTGGCTAATGACCACTTGAAGTATGGCTAGTGTGGCTGAGAAATTGAATTTTAAATAATCTAAGTTTAAATAGCCACAGATGGCAAGTGGGTAATACAAGTTTATAGTGTGGACTTCCAGCTCCTTTTACTAGTGGTGTGACTTTGGCTAGTTACCTCTCTGAGCATGAGTTTTCTGAATCTGTATAGTAATAACAATAATGGTAAATTATTAAAAATTAAAGTAAATTGTGTATGTGAAAACAGTGATCGGTACACAATCAGACCTCATAAAGTTGTAGCTGCTTAACAATAATAACACAACAGCACAACTGTTGTTAACAGTGACTGATTTTGTTATCGTAGTAGTGTGCCATGCAGTATCTAACAATCCTAGTATACAAAAGCTGATTCAATTGGTAAGTTTTGTATTTCAAACTCATATTTTTTTAAAATGAAATGGGTGGAAATTGTCAGGCTCAAGTGCAAGTCCATTTTCTTATCATTTAACTAGTTCTCTGTATAGTCCTCTTTCTAAAGTGTTGCCTGTCTTCCCAATTCACATCTCACTTGCTCCCTGGCCAGTTTAATGTGAATTAAGCCTCCTCAACATGCTAATCATTGTACTCTGAATATGAAGGAAGGAGGAGTCCTGTTAATATCTTCTCTCCAGTGATGTAAATAGGAAAGTATGCAAGTCTAGACATCTTAAACCTTTCAGTAGTTTTTTCATCTGTAACTTGTACCATGCTCCAAGCATACTTCTTATTGTTAAATGCCATCAAGTCAGTTTAGACTCATAGTTTCAAACTCAGATAGCGTTTCCAAGGAGTGGTTGGTGGGTTTGAACTTTGAGCTTATGGTTCAATCCCGATCTTTTAGTCCAGTGTTTATCTACAGTGCCACACTAGGACTTCCCAATCATACTAGCTTCTTTCATTTTCTCAAAACAACTATACTATCGATTTCAGATCATCTTCACAAGGTTTTCCCACTACACTACTCCTCTCCCTTTTCTTTGCATGGTTAGCATATACTTATCCTTCCAATCGCATCAAAAGCTTTGTTTCTCCAAACTGAATTAAGTTCTGCTCCTCCTATCATCACATACTCCCTAATTATTCTTACATGCACCTTCATGAAGTCATATATTTAGGTATGACAATTTGCTTCTAATTCACATATGTCTGCCACATTTTAAGTTCTGAAAGGCAGCAGTCATGTTTATTTTGCTCTTTTATTTCCAGCTTCTGATATGGACTGGACATAGACATTCATAAAGATGTGTTAATATGCGAATCTTTCTCTGTGTGTATCAGACACACACATAGGGAAAATATGCTGCTTTATTATATACGTCTTTCTTATCTGCTATTCTCTTCTTCCCTCATTCTGCTATTCATCCACATTTTTTATGTTTTTAGTCCAATGAATCATTGTACTTTCCAGATCTGATATGGTTTATCGGAACCTTAGTCCCTATACTTTACATTCATTTTTTAGTTTTAAAATCTACATTTCAGAGTGTCTCTGCCTTTGTTTATTTCTTGAAAGTCTCTGTTAATGTCACTTTGATATGATGATGCCATTTCTCTGTTTCTTTAGGATGTGATGACTATGGATGGCCTTCTGTATGACCTCACAGAAAAACAAGTGTATCACATTGGGAAGCAAGTCCTTTTGGCTCTGGTAAAGCTGATGAAATGGACAATATATGATGGTGGAAATTTTTCTTGGTAGCTTGTAATATAATACCATAGGTCCCATATTTGTATCATCAATTGTGGAAAATGGTATATAGAAAATGAAATAGAAGTTAGAAGGCAGAAACTCAAGACTGATAAATTGTTTTAGCCCTTTATTTATGAAATAATTTAATTTAGATAATGTACATCGTTGTTAATTCTCAGCAGAAAGTACCTAACGTGGGTTGGGGTTTTTTTGTTTTTGTTTTTTATTTCAAGGACCGGTAAAGGTTTAAAAGTTTCTCAGTCTTAAAGGTCAAAGAGCAGTGCCTAGAGATATAAGTCCATCTACTTGATGCCACTAAGGAAACCTGGTAGTGTAGTGGATTACAGACTGGGCTGCTTACTGCAAAGTCAGTAGTTCGAATCTACCAGTTGCTCTGCAGGAGAAAGATGATACTTTCTGTTCCTGTAAAGATTTACAGCCTTGGAAAACCTATCAAGGGTCACTATGATAGCCCTAATTTCTCATTATGCTAATATAAATAGTATGTTGTTGTTGTTAAGTGCTATTGAGTCAGTTCTGTCTCATACAACCCTGTATAGAATTTCTGAGGTACAGCTTGAGGGTTTGAATCGGCAACCTTTCAGTTAGCAGTCCAGTGCATTCAGTATTCAAACAAGTCACAGATATTGGAAGGAGATTGGGCCAAGATATGGAAAGAGAAACCAAATGGTTGAAAGGCTACAGAAACAAAAAGAAGTATGCAGTTTTATAACTTATAAAACAAGAAAAACTAGTTCAGAGCATGTTTGTTTGGTGGCTTGTTTGGATGCTGAATGTGATAGCAAATGCATATACTTAAAAAAAAAAAAGACTAAGTCTCAAATTAAAGGCAAGGAATTAGAAGAGGCAAAAATATGATCATTATTTTATTTTGAAGTAAAAACAAGGAGGTAAGAGACAGAACTTTGTGATTAAAAGGGAAAAAAACAAACAAAAATCTTCACTAGTATTACTCAGGAATTCAGATGGCTATGTCTATTCAGTTGACTGTTTTAAAGTTAACATTCTCTACAGAAAATCAGGCCCCCCATGAAAGTACTACATTAGGTTTTTCAAAGATTTACCACCTTGTAGTGTGAAATATACCAAGAATCTAAATGGAATCAGGAAAAGATTAGAAAAAAAGAGGTAGGTAGGTGAGCAAAGAACAGAAGCTCCCATTTGCCAAGTGCAAGAGCATATCAGATCTGAATATTCTTTATGGTGTCTGGAAGTATTGTCTTTATAAAGTTAGGGTGTCAGGATATAGCCTACCTTGTATTCTGAACTATAATTGCAGAAGTGCTCTGGAGGGATGTATGATCATTGATCAAATTCCTGGGCTACCTGTTACAAGGTAACATCAGACTATTTTTCTTGCTTTTAACAACTTCAAAAGTCAACACATTCATTAATTGGTGTCATAAATGTCTAATTAATTCTGTTGTTCTAAAACATCAGCTGTGAAATAAAATCGCTAGGCACTGTTTCCTCCCTCATCATTAATGATTCGGAAGTAGTGTCTCCTTTATTGTTAAAAAACAAACAAAACAAAACTTGTCTAGCAATCATAGACTTCCTTCTGTAACTTGTTAATCAAGAATAATTTTAAACTTTTGCAGACACCTTGAAAAGATTGAAGAAGGAGAAAAGACACCAGTAAATCAATGTCATCCTGGTGCAACCATTCTCAAATGCTCTTTTGGCTTCATTAGAATCATTTTGAGTAATTCTTAAAAACACAGATTACCAGGTCCTTCTTCCAAATTTTAGTTGAGTAAATCTGGGGTAACAATCTTTTGTTTTTAAAAAGCAAACATGAGATTCTGATTTGCAGTCTGGTTTGAGAATTACTAGAAGAGTAATTAGAATACATCTATTCCTCATATAGACAATCTCATTATCTGACATTTCGCATTTACAGCAATAGTAAAAAAATCTACCATCCAAGTATTTTGCACAGTAATGATGTACTTATGACAACAATAAATGCCAAGGTTCTTGGAAAGAGTGGGTGTGGTGCTATGGGTTAATGCGTGAGACTGCAAAGGCGTTTGAACTGCAAGGTCGGCGGTTCAAGCTCACCAGCTGCTCCTCCGAAACACTATACAGGGTCACTATAGGTTGGAACCAACTCGACTTCACAACAACAACAATATGGATAAGATTATTATGTGTGAATTTGGCTGGACCATGATTCTCAGTGGCTTGACTGCTATATTGTTAGGTACTTTCAAGTTGTTTTTGACTCATATTGACCCTGTATAGGGTTTCCAAGGAATTGCTTATCATAAAGTGCCACACCAGGGCTCTATGTAATGATATAATTTGGCAGTTATACAGTGAAGTATCTTGGCAGTCATCTGCCATTTTGTGATTTGAAGTGGTCATCCTCCATTTTTGCATAAGAGCATGTTCTGGTGGCTGTTGTTGTTGTTAACTCATAATGACCCTGTATAGGGTTTCTGAGGAGTGGCTCATGAGCTTAACCTCCAACTTTTCAGTTCAAACTGATTTTGCACTCCAGTACATTATCCTGCAGCACCACACCAGGACCGTTCTGGTTACTACCCCTTAATAACTTTGTGGTATTATTCAACCATTTGTTGTTGTTGTTGTTGTTGTTGTTAGGTGCCATCGAGTTGGTACAACTCATTGCAAACCTGTGCACAAGAGAACAAAACACTGCATGATCCTGGGCCAACCTCATAATAGTTGCCACACTTGAGTCCATTGATGCTGCCACTTTGCCAATCCATCTCACTGGGGGTCTTCCTCTTTATTTCTGACCCTCCACATTACCAAACATATCTTTCTCCAGTGACTTGTCCCTCCTGACAATATGTCTGAAGTATGAGAGACAAAGTTTGGCCATCCTGGCCTCCAAGGAGTACTCTGGCTACACTTCTTCCAACACAGATCTGTTAGTTCTTTTGGCAGCCCATGGCACTTTCAATATTCTCCTCCAACACCATACCTCAAATGCATCAATTCTTCTACGGTCTTCCTTTCTCACTGCCCAGCTTTTGCATGCATATGAGGTTATTGAAAATACCATGACTTGGGCCAGGCACACTTTAGTCCTCAAGCTGACATCTTTGCTCTTCAACATTTTAAAAAGGTCTTTGCTGCAGATTTGCCTAATGCAATGTCATTTGATTTCTTGACGGCTTCTTCCATGAGTGTTGATAGTTGATCCAAGAAAAATGCAGTCAATCTTTTCTCCGTTGATAAGGATGTTGTTTATTGGTCCAGTGGTGAGGAGTTTTGTTTTGTTCACATTGAGATGCAATCCATACCAAAGATGCAATCCATATTGATCTTCATCAGTAAATATTTTAAGTCCACTTCATTTCCAGCAAGCAAGGTTGTATCATCTGCATATCGCAGGTTGTTAATGAGTCTTCCTCCAATCCTGATGTAACATTTTTCTTCATAGAACCCAGCTTCTTGTATTATTTGCTCAGCATACAGGTTGAATAAGTATGGTGAAAGAATACAACCCTGTCGCACACCTTAATTTTAAACCATTCAGTGTTCCCATGTTCTGTTTGAATAACTACCTCTTGGGCCAGATACAGATTCTTCATGAGCACAATTAAAAGTGTTCAGGAATACTCATACTTTGCAATGTTGTCCATAGCTTGTCATGATCCACACAATTGAAAGATTTCTCTAAAAGATATTTACCTAATTTACCTCATCTAATTATTTTAGGAAAAAAATGAATTGATGTAAAACTATATATAAATTCATTATATGACACAATTTTGCTGTTTACTGATCGCTTCTGTTTTTGAACTTCCGTTAGAAACTTGGGACCTACTGTCTTTCCTATTGCCTAATTGTGTCCTCTCTGAGAGAAATATGAAATCAAGCATGGGCCCATGCTTGACAGAGTGAACGATTATACTTTCAAACCCAATATTATATAGCATTTAGATGCTTTAGTTGGTAATCCTGAACACAATGCAAAAATGTCTGATTCATTAGCATGAATGATTTAGAAAGATATGTCATCAATGAAACTCATTCAGAGTAGAAAAAGTCCTTGTCGTTTTCAGGGTTCCTAAAACTGACTTTTCTTGCCAGCAACTCAAGTCATGACCTCAGATTGCTGATCTAATTTTGATTTTGTCTTGACAGGAATTCCTTCAGGATAAGCATCTATTCCATGGGGAGGTAGCAGCCAGAAATATTCTGATCCAGTGTGATCTCACTGCCAAGCTCTGTGGACTGGGCTTAGCTTATGAAATCCATGCCCAAGGGGCCATCTCCTCTACTCGAACCATAGCTCTCAAGTGGCTTTCCCCAGAGCGTCTTCTCCTGAGACCTGCTGGCATTAAAGGAGATATGTACGATTTGGACTTCTTCCCTCCGTGAACTGGGTGTCCTTGGGTTGAGAAATGTTATTGGGTTTATTGCCAATTATGCCTACAAATGAAATTTTTATGAAGAACTCAGACATACTCTGAAGCAGAAATATTGCGTGTCAAAATTTATACTCAGTATTTGGTTACAATTCTCCTTTGTGCCTTTTGAAGTATTCCTTCTATGTTAGGTTTGCTGTTGTTGTTGTAAAGTGCTGTCAAGTCGGTTCTGACTCTTAGCGACCCTGTATAGGGTTTCTGTGGAGTGGTTGGTGGGTTTGAACCAGTGACCTTACAGTTAGCAATCCAGTGCTTATCCTACAGTGCTACATTAGGAGCCTAAAATGAGTATCTTCGTTCCTTAGTTCTGCTATAACAGAACAGAAATGTTGGCTTTAAAGAACAAAAGTTTCTTTTCTCAGTTTGTTGCTAAGTACCGTGGAGTCAGCTCTGTCTCATAGCGACCCTGTACAGGGTTTCCGAGGCTGGAAATCTTTACAGGAGCAGAACGCCTCATCTTTCTCCCGCGGAACTGCTGGTAGTTTCGAATTGGCAGCCCGACTCGTAACCACAAAAGTCAGAATTCAGGACACTGACGGCAGGAGAAGGCGCCCTCTCTGTTGGATCTGGGGGAGGTCCTTCCTTGTCTCAGATTCCTAGCCCCAGCATTCTTTGTTTCCTTGTTCATTTTCTCATGGCATCTGACTTTCCTGCATTTGGGCTTGCTTATCTCTGTGTCTGTGTGGCCCTTTATAACTCAGAAATGATTAGATCTAGACTACCTTACACTGACATGGTCTAATTAACATAACAAAACCTATTTTTCCAAACTGAATTACAACCACAGGATTTTTTTTGTTTGTTTTTGCTCTGTGTTGGGGACCGGCTGGGGGCACACAATTCAATCCATAACAATAGAAATTAAAAAAGAAAATATTAGACATACCAACATGTGAAAATTTAGTTCGGTAGAGCCCTTTGATTGAAGGAGGTGGATCCACTTAATAAAAAAGTCAGTTAAGCCAGAAATTATTAAAAGAAAAATAAACATACATACCAAAAATTTTTTATTTTACTTAGACTATATTAATATACATTTATTTACCAATCTTTTGAAAGAAAGCCAAGTCCTTATCTGTAGTATAGACCTGCAAAACAATTATGTTGTGTTTCTTGTGTACATAGCATCTATCAGGAATTACTTTTTTGTTCCAGTTGGGAGGTTTTTAAACAGTGAGAAACTTTTAAAACAAAATCTGTGAAACATTTAACTGCAGACTTTTATTGTTATCTTTCCCAATGTTCTACAGTTGTTTCAGCCATCGTAAATTTGACAATACTGTCTTTTGAACTTTAGTTTTATGTTGTTGTTATTAAGTACCTCTGAATTTGTTCTTATAGTGATCCTGTATAGCAGCTGGTGTGTTTGAACCACTGACTTTGTGGTTAGCAGTTCAGTGTTTGTCTTTGTTGTTGTTCGGTGCCAGTGAGGCAGTTCTGACTCAGGAACCCCAAGCACCACAGTAGGAAATGCTGCCCAATCCCGTGCCATCCTCACAATTGTTTGACTTGAGCCCATTACTGTTACCACTGTGCCTATCCATTTTACTGAGAGGGACTTGTTCTCTTCACTCACCTTCCACTTTACTAAGCATAATGTCCTTTTCCAGGGGCTGGTCCTTCTTGGTAAGATGTCCAAAGTATGCGAGACAAAAAGTCTTGCCATCCTTGCTTCTAAGGAGAATTCTAGTTGTACTTCTTCCAACAGTCCATGGTACTTTCAATATTCTTCTTCAACACCATAACTCAGATGCAGCAGTTCTTCTACTGACTTCCTTATTCATTGTCCAACTTTCACATGCATGTGAGTCCATGGAAAATAACCATAGCTTTGGTCAAACGAACCTTAGAATTCAAACTGATATCTTTGCTCTAGAATACATTAAAGAGATCTTGTGCAGCAGATTTGCCTTCTGCTTCCAAGACTATTAATTGTAGATTCAAGCAAGATAAAGTCTTTGACAACTTAAGTCATTTCTTCATTTATCATGATGTTATTTATTGATCCACTTATGAGGATTTTTTTCCTTCATATTGAGATGCAATGCATACCAATAGGTTGTGAAGTTTGATCGTCATAAGTCAATATATTAAGTCCTCTTTGCTTCCGGAAAGCTAGGTTGTATTATCTGCATACCACAGGTTGTAAATGTCTTCCTCCAATTCTGATGCCATATTCTTCTTCATAGGAGCTCTGGTAGTGTAGTGGTTATGAATCGGGCTGTGAACCACAAGGTCAGCAGTTCGAAACTACCAGTTGTTCAGCAGGAGAAAGATTAGGCTTTCTGCTCCTGTAAAGATTTACAGCCTCGGAAACCCTGTACGGGGTCTGTGTGAGTCGGAACCGACTCCACGGCACGTAACCACCACGTAACCACCATTCTTCTTCATATAATCTAGTTTCTCAAATTATTTGCTCAGCATACAGATTGACTAAGTATGTTGAAAGAATACAGCCCTTGCACATACCTTTTCTGATTTTAAACCATTCAATATTGCCTTGTTCTGTTTTAACAACCTCTTGGTGTATGTACAGGTTCCTCATGAGCACAATCAAGTGTTCTGGAAGACCCGTTCTTTGCAATTTTATCCATAGCTTGTTATGATCCACAAAGTTGAAAACCTTTGCGTAGAGTCAATAAAGCAAAAAGAAGCATCTTTCTAGTATTCTCTGTTTTCAGTCAAGATCCATCTAATGTCACCAATAATATCCCTAGTTCCACATCTTCTGAATCTGACTTAAGTTTCTGGTAGTTCCCTGTCAATGTATGGTTTCAGCTATTTTAAAATTATCTTCAGCAAAATTTAACTTGCAATTGATAATATTATTGAATGATTGCCACAATCCATTGTTTTAGCTCTCTTTGGAATGGGCGCAAATAAGGGTCTCTTCCAATTGGTTGGCCAAGTAACTGTCTCCAAATTTCTTGGAATAGATGAGTGGGCACCTTCAATGCTATATTAGTTTGTTGAAATATCTCAATTTGTATGCCATCAATTCCTGGAACCTTAGTTTTCGCCAAATACCTTCAGTGCAAATTGGATTTTTCCCTTTAGTACCATCAGTTCTTTATTATATGCTACCTATTGAAATGGTTGAACTCCAAGTCTTTGCACATTTCATAATAATACTTGACTTTGTCTTTTTGAGCTGCCCTTCAGAATTTTCTGTTCAGGTCTTTGACTTTCTCATTTTTTCCATTCGCTTTAGTATCTCTATGTGGGAGAGCAAGTTTCAGAGTTTCTTCTGACATCCATTTTGGTGTTTTCTTTCATTCCTGTCTTTTTAATGACCTTTTGCTTTCTTCCTGTATGATGTTCTTGATGGCATCTCATAACTCTTTTGGGTTTTGGTCAGTAGTGTCTAATGTATCAAATCTGTTCTTTAAATGGTCTCTAAATTCAGGTGGGGTATGTAAAGGAGCTCTGGTAGCATAGTGGTTACGAATCGGGCTGCGAACCTTAAGGTCAGTGGTTCGAAACTACCAGCCGCTCCGCAGGAGAAAGATGAGGCTTTCTACTCCCGTAAGGATTTACACCCTCGGAAACCCTGTACAGGGTCGCTATGGGTCGGAACCGACTCGAAGGCACTTAACAACAAAAACATGTTCCAAGTAATAGTTTGGCTCTTGTGGACATGTTTTAATTTTTTTCAGCTTCAGCCTGAACTTGCTTATGATCAATTGATGGTCTGTTCCACAGTCTGCCTCTGGCCTTGTTTTTGTTGATGATTTTGAGTTTTTCCACTGTCTCTTCCCACAGATGTAGTCAATTTAATTTCTGTGTGTTCCAGCTGATGAGGTCCAGGTGTATAATCACTTTTTATGTTGTTAAAGAAAGGTATTTGGTCTTGCAAAATTCTATCATATAATCTCAAGTATAGTTTCTATCACCAAGGCCATATTTTCCAAGTACTGATCCATCTCGTTGTTTCCAACCTTTTCATTCCTGTCGCCAGTAATTATCAATACATCTTGATTGCATGTTTGATCAATTTCAGCCTGAAGAGGAGGAGGAGGCAGTGTACTTTGGAGTTGGTTTAGACTCCTAGCGACCCTGCATTGGCTGTCCAAGGCTATAAATCTTAACGGGAGCTGGTAGTTTGGAACTGATGACCTTGAGGTTAGCATCCGGACTTATAACCACTACACTACCAGAGCTCCTTCAGCCTGAAGAAGTTGTTGTTGGTAGTGGTTGTGTGCCATGGAGTCGGTTCCACCTCATAGCGACCCTGTACAGGGCTTCCAAGTCTCTAAATTTTTATGGGAGCAGAAAGCCTCATCTAATTCCCTCGGAACAGCTGGTAGTTTTGAACTGCTGACCTTGAGGTTCACAGCCCGATTCGTAACCACTACGCTCCCAGAGCTCCGTGAAGAAGTTGGTAGAATTCTTCAATTTCATCACCACTGGCTTTAGTGGTTGGTGTGTAAATTTGAATAATAGTGGTATTAACTTGTCTTCCTTTTAGGCATATGGATATCATCCTATTACAGACAGCATTGTACTTCAAGACAGATCTTAAAATGTTCTTTTTGAATGGCGGCACCATTCCTCTTGAATTTGTTGTTACTGGCATAGTAAGCTATATGACTGTGAGATTCAAAATGACCAATACCAGTCCATTTAACTCACTAATGCCTAGGATATTGATCTTTATGTGTTCTTTTTCACTTTTGACAAATTTCAGATTTCCCAGATTCATACTTTGTATATCCCATGTTCTGATTATTAATGGATGTTCACAGCTGTTTGTCCTCAATTTGAGTTGTTCCCCATCAGCAAATGAGGGTCCTGAAAGCTTTACTCTATTTACATCATCATGGTCAACTCTACTTTAAGGCGGTAGCTCTTCCCCAGTCCTATTTTGAGTGCTTTCCAACCTAAGGGGGCTCATCTTCCAACACTGTACCTGACAATATTCTGGAGCTATTCATAATGTTTTCATCTTCTGGATCTGTATCCGACAGTGTTCCTCAGCTGTCCATAAGGTTTTCAGTGGCTAATCACTGAGAAGTAGTCCGCTTCTTCTTTTTCCTAGTCTGTCTTAGTTGGAAGCTCAGCTGAAACCTGCCCATCATGGATGCAAATAGTTATTGTACAGTGCCACAAAACATTCAACTTAAGTTTTCAGAGAGAGAACATTATGTTATTTTATCAGTTTATATAATAATTATAGCAACAATTGCAATGATATGAAATCCAAGCCTGAGATAAATCCTCTACAATGAGACTCCTTCCTAACCTATTAGGAACTTGTAATTGTTGCAACGTAAATTGTAACAACAATTGCATTTAATTAATTCTATAGCAACAATTGATATAAATAAGATTGTAAAGAATCAAAATTGACTGTGGTCATGTAATTCAATTGCTTATTTAGAAGAAGCATGTGATCTAATGCAGACCATCATACTTGACAGGAGTGTCACAAGTAGCAGAAGAAATATAGATTGTTAGCAAAAGTGGTGAAAGGCTTCACCAACATTGCTTTTCAATAGAGATCTGGGGTAATAAACTTCAAAGGAAAATATACTAATGATGATGTTATACAACAGTAAAAAAAAATATATCCCAAATTGTATATTGTTTAGGCAAATTCTTATTTCAACTATGTGTAAAGGTTGCTCTGATCATATTTTTTTCCTAGACTTGGGTAACTGGTTATTCTGAGAAAATAGTAGATAAATAAACCTTGCTCATCTTAGTACTAAAAATAAAGTCTAGAAATCTAGCAGGAAGGAATGGAAAAGCTAAAAATTATATAAAGGAGAATTTGTTTATGTTTGGATTAATATTTTTGTGTGTGCACATATACACACAATTTTATTTACTTATGAACCGGCTCGACGGCACTTAACAACAACAAATATACTTATTGATTGTGGTTTAGGTGAAAGTTTACAAAGCAAATTAGCTTTCCATTCAATAATTTATACACTTCATTTTATAACATGAGTTGGGGTTCTCTTAATGTAACAGACTGCTTCCCGACTCCTCCCTTGGTTCCCCATTTTCATTTGTTGTTCTTTCCGGCCCTTTCCTGTCTTCTGAGCTTTGTTTTTGGGCCAGTGTTGCCCTTTTGGTCATAAACTCAATTTTGCAAATGTTAATGTGAGCTATAGAAGAAAGAAGGGGTAGAGCCTGTCCTTCAAACACTGTACTTTCAGAGGATTGGAAAGAAATACTTTCTAATGAGGTGATTACTTTGCTTATTTTAATAAACAACCGTCTTCTGTTCTCATTCTTTATACTGCCTCCTTTATGAGGTCCTTAAATGAACGCTTATGATATTTAAGTGAACTCTTTTTAAGAAAGGCAATCCATTTTTGTTGTTGTTGTTGTAGAAGACATGTTACTTTATTTATTTCTTTTTCCCTTCCCCTCTTTTTTTTTTTAAGCAGGAAAGTTCCTAGTGGTTTGTTCTAGTGAGAAAATAAGTATATATTATTCCCTTCTAGTACATGAAATAATAATTTTTTAAAAATAAGGCAATTCCCTTTTATTTTTCCCTGTCATTTTCCTTTTTTGGACAAACCATTTTTTAAAATAGCAAATTTATTTATCTCTTTTACAGCTGGTCTTTTGGGATCCTCCTCTATGAGATGATGACTTTAGGTAAGTACGGTCCTCAAAATAGTGTATCCAAATTGCCATTGAGTCAATTCTGACCCTTAGTGACCCTATAGGACAGAGTAGAACTGCTCTATTGGGGTTCGAGGGTTGTAAACCTATAGATCTTTCTTCCACGGAGTGGCTGGTGGGTTCAAACCAACAACCTTTAAGTCAGCAGCCGAGTGCTTAACCACAGTCCCACCCAAGCACTTAACCACTGTTCCAGAGTGGTGTGTGCACATATGCAAGTACATTGACTTGGGTTTTAGATGGTGTATGTTTTGAGAAGGGCTATTAGTATGAGCTGTGAAGGGTGAATTGGGCTGATACAAAACCCAAACCAGCTTCCTGAGATCAATCCTCTAAAGTGAGATTCCCTTCCTAACCTATTCCTATCATCTGTCTCTTTGTCTTTCTCTGTTTCTCTTCCATTTTCTTTCTTTTCCCCCAAATTTCCAAGAGATGTTTTCAAATCCAAAGAATAAACCCTTGTTTATTTATTTACAATAAATCTTGTACTGATTTGGTACATAAAACTATTGTTTTCAGACTAAATAATCTGAAACCTCAGAACCTACCTCCATTTAGGGTATGAAGGGTAAACCCTTGTCCCTTTTACCTTACTTTGTTATTTTTCCAAAGACCTGGGATTCCCTAATTTATTATTCTCCCCACCCCTACCCCTGAACCTCCTTTTAGACATTCTCTAAACCACATCCTTATTTGATCATCAGGCAGCATCCACATTATAGCTAGTAAATTTCCCTAGACTGTATCTTTTACAGGACAATTAATTACCCAGTTAGATAGAGAATACTGTTGAGTTATAGTTCATAGTCTAAAGGAACTTAAAGTTCTCTTGATACTCTCATTCTCTCCATCCTGGCAGGGGCCCCGCCATATCCTGAAGTTCCTCCTACCAGAATTCTACAGTACCTCCAGAGAAGGAAAATCATGAAGAGACCCAGTAGCTGTACACATAACATGTAAGTGACTTTTCCACGGCTGCTCTTCTCTTACCTCAAGTCTTTTGTGCTTCCCCATCAATCTTGCCATTTTAAAGTGGCCCAGATGACACTACTGGTTGTGCTGACGTGCAGACATGTGGTAAACACATCTGCTCTCAAATAATATATGTTATATGGCCCTGTGGGTTAATGCGCCAGACTGCAAAGCCATTTGAACTGCAAGGTTGGCGGTTCAAGTTCACCAGCTGCTCCTCGGAAACCCTAGACAGGGTCATTATGGGTCGGAATCGACTCTATGGCACTTAACAACAACAATATACAAAATATATACAGACATATATAATGTTGGGAAACCACTGAAACTGTATTCAGAATCTAAGTTTCATTCCTCAGGAAACTTCTAAAATAGCTACTCCATGCAGGTACCAATAGTGTTTTATTTATCTAAATATCAGTTTTCTGACAACCTCAGTTAGAAGGTATGGTTGTTGTTCCAACTCATAGGGATTATGTGTAGTGCTTTTGAGGAACAGCTGGTGTGATTGAACTACTGACCTTGTAGTTAGTACATTGCTTATCCTATAGCACCACACCAGGACTCCATTTAGAAGGTAGCTATCATCAAATCCATTGCACTAGAGCTACTCATTTCAGAGTATGGTTGTGATGGTGGTGTGCTGTGGAGTCAGTTCTGACTCATGTGACACTGTATAAGGTTTCTGAGGCTGTAAATCTTTATAGGAGCAGAAAGCCTCATCTTTCTCCTGTAGAACAGTTGGTAGTTTTGAACTGCTGACCTTGATGTTAGCAGCCTGACTCGTAACTGCTGTGCTACCAGAGCTCCTTAGCAACTGTACACTGGAGTTCCAAGGTTCTGGTAGCATATGAGAGATAGAAGAGCTAGGCGGTAGTATGTGGACTTGATAGAGTAAACAGTAGAAAGCCACTGTAGGTTACTGAGCAGGGAGGAGGCGTAATGAAAAGTTATGGAAACCAGATGGCATTATACATTCTCTGTAGTTTTGACTGAGATGATTTAGGTTTTAAGCTAAATTGTAAAGGAGAGAAATGACTTCGATTCATAAACGGAAGCATCTGATGATCGTATCTGAAATTGACAAGAATTACGTTAATCTGCGACTTTCATTTTTCTGGCTGTGATGTAACTTTTACTAGTAGAAAAATTAGAGTGGTGATCTGGAATTCTGCAATTTAATAATAGCTGAAAGTCTGATAAGGTGCTGTAGGAGTAGTACTGGATGGCTAACTGCAAGGCTGACTGCTCAAACGCACCAGTTGCTTCCTGGAAACCCTATACAGGGTTGCTATGAGTTGGAACTGACTAGATGGCACTTAACAACAACAAAAAGAACGCTTCTGAAAGAGTGATTGACCACAGAGTGACAAAGCTGTTATAACATACTGCTTGCAGCTTGAAAAATCTTGAATCATTGCTATTAGGCCTTGTTGATAAGGACCTTTGATGGTGCAGTAGTAAAAAGCACCATCATGTCCCAATAGACATTGTGGCTTCTTACTGAAAAGTTGGCAGTTTAAACCCAACAACTGCTCCTCAGGAGAAAGATGTGGCGATCTGCTTCCATAAAGAGGTACAGTCTCAAGATCCCTATGAGTTGACTTCACAGCTGTGGGTTGGGTGTTAATAAGATGACCTTAAGAAGATGAAAAGGAATGTCATTAGAATATGAGAGATATGGCAGAGAAGTAGATGATAGAACTGGAGCCACAGGATTTTGTTTGTTTGTTTGTTTAGGTTTGTTAGAAGAGAAGACATGTTGCTCGTATGTTTGCTTTCCAAGGAAGTCAGTTTCTCTGGTTTCCCTTTCAGGTATAATCTTATGAAGTCCTGTTGGCGCTGGAGTGAGGACCACCGTCCTTCACCTAGAGAGCTACGCTTGCGCCTCGAAGCTGCTTTGCGAACTGCAGATGACAAGACGGTGTTGCAAGTACCAGAGTTAGTAGTCCCTGAACTATATGCAGCTGTGGCTGGCATCAGTGTAGACAGCCTCCCCTATAGCTACACCATCCTTTGAGGACTACAAATCAAGACACATTTATGTGCGATCATGTGCTCTTGGAACCAACTCCTCCAAAAACTGAGAATGGATTTTCTATTGGGACATGAAGGGAGAAATGGAACATGGATCCTGAGCCTTCCCCTACAGATTTCCTTAGACACCTGAAATGATGTTGACTCAAGTGCTACACACCATACCCTTGAGGCTAAGGAATATTTTGAGTCATATATCTGTTGTCCCAATCCTCAAGACTGTCTTAAAGATCCAACATACAAGTGGTGATACAGAAGCCTTTGGATACCTGCAGTGTTTGCTGGGGCATGATGCAGATATGCTGGTTTTCTCCCACCCCAGACTAATGTCCTCATGAAACATGCATTTATTTCGACCCCAGTGAGATGGATTGGCAGTATGGCAGCATCAATGGGCTCAAGCATGGCAACAATTGTGAGGTTGGCCCAGGACCGGGCAGTGTTTCATTCTGTTGTGCATAGGGTCGCTATGAGTCGGTACGTACTCGATGGCACCTAAAAACAACAATTATAAAGTGTAGAGAAACTAAGTCAAATGAGGATATTGGAAGTCAATAGAGGAGTGGAAGAAGAAGAAACGGAAAGATTCTATTTGCTTGGAAGTATAGGCACAGACCATGACCTTCCTTCAAAGAGAGGGTAGAAGAATAAAATTCTTCAGTCCTGGTCTTGTCATGTAGGGCAGGAAGAGAATTATGCAGGAAATATCTAAGTTTCCACTTGAGTATGGGTAAAACCAATCTCTTTTGGTCTGAGATGGGTGAACCCTGCTGGAACGGCTTTTAAATCTAGGTTGGAGGAATGAATTCATGAATAAGAACACTGACTGTATGCTGTTCATTATGCTAGCCTCCTCATCTGTAAAACTGAGGCGATTGGGCCTAGAAAGTCAATGTATAGTCAGGGATGAAAATGCTGCATGTGTGTTTGTGTGTTTCATAAATAGCAGACATGGAAACCAAGCAAGAGAGCTTATTTCTCAGGTCTTTAATAAGGGCAAGAAGAGGAAAAATTTGTGGAAGGAAGGATTTTATCTTCTAATTCTGAATCATAATTTAATGTGTTGTGAAATTAATTTTATTAAATTCATATTTATTGAGTGACTACACTTTTCTGGACTCCTGGTGTGTCAATGTAGGAGCAGCACTGGACTGTAAATCACAGAGTTGGTAGTGCGAACCCACCAACTGCTCCTCGGAAACCCTATACACTATGAGTTGAAATCAACTTGATGGTACTCAACAACAACAACATAGACTTTTCTAATTTCTATAATAGTGATGATAAAAGTAAATAATACCTACTTCACAGGGTTGTTGTGAGGATTAAGAGCGTTTCTAAAAAATCTGATACACACTTCTGTGTGCTCAATAAACATACGTTTCTTTTTCTTTTTCTCTTCCTGTCTCTGAACTTTTCGTATCTTGTTCATTTAAAATCTTTTTCATGTAAGCCCTCAATCTGTCAGGTACACTGTAAGGCAGGACATGCCTGAAGATAATGGCATGTACAAACACCACATCACAAACATGACACACATGTCGTTATTTTTGTGTGAGCATCTGGATGGCATTAGTAATGCCCTGTTCTTTCAAAATCTTGAAAAGATTCTAATGATGTCAATTCAGTAGAATATGGGATCTGTGGTTTTAAAGAATGCTCTGGGTACCTGGAGCGACGTCTGAAATGGCTCTAGGAAAGAGGACTGGCAGAGGAAATGCTGGTAGAAGTCGAAATCCTGCTGGAGTCATGATGAATCAGCTAACGGAATGATGACGCTGCTGTGGGAATTCCACAATGGCTGCTTGGGAGCTAACAGGGTGGCAAGTAGGAAGAAGGCGGTACCCTGACCTAACACACAATGACAAAGGCCTGTGGTATCTCTCATTGCTGTGTATCAGTAATTCATGTAAGTCAAATTGACAGAGTGTAACTGAGTGATAAGGGCCACTCTCCCAAATACTGTGACACATGTTGGGGATAAGAAACAGGGCACTTTTTGTGACAGTATAGAAGGTTAGAGACTGCATTATATATTTATTTGTATGGGTACTTAATTACCAATAGTTGTAAGTGCTGTGATGCAAAAAGGTCTTAGGGAATATGAAATGAGGAACTTCCGGAAAAAATTTAAAATGAAACTTTGTTGTTAAGTGCCATTGAATCTGATTCATAGCAGCCCTGTATAGTGTCTCCAACTGGTGGGTTTGAACTGCTGACCTTGTGGTTTGTAGTCCAGTGCTGATCCTACAGCACCACTCCAGAAGAGGATAAATGAGCCAGATAAAAAATGAGAAGGCTCTTCCAGAAAAAGGGCTAAATATGTAAAAACCCTGAGGCAAGAAAAAGCACAGTTGATCTGAAGAATTGCAGTAAGTGTGAGTTGGTGGTTTAAACCCACCTTGGAAGCCCTATACAGGGTTGCTATGAGTCTGACCCAGCTTGACAGTATTTAACAACAACAGCAGGGGGATAGTGGCACAAAAATAAATGGAGCACTGCTCTTTTATATTGTATGTTCATATTTATTTTGATCAGAGGCAAAGAAGTAGACAACTATTATTTAAAACTTTTATCTTTAATTTTGTTATTTTTCTGGATATATTCCTGGAAAAAATGGATAAGTATTTGCTCATTCTAAGACAACTGTGTCTTATCCTCAGTTGGCCAGGTTTCTTCCAAAAGGGAGATCCTAATTCTTGGGCTATATTTCTGCTATTTTTGACCACTTAGCCAAATTAGGTACTGTGGGTTAATGTGCTGGACTGCAAAGCTGGTTTGAACCGCAAGGTCAAGTAGTTCAAGCTCACCAGCTGCTCCTCGGAAACCCTATACAGAGTTGCTATGGGTTGGAACTGACTCAATGGCTTTTAACAACAACAACCAGCCTAGTGTGGAGTCCTGGTGTGGCTCTGTGGGTTAATGTGCTGGTCTGCAAAGTCAGTTTGAACCACAAGGTTGGCAGTTCAAGCTCACCAGTCAGCTCCTCAGAAACCCAATACTGGGTCGCTATGGGTTGGAACCGACTTGACAGTACTTAACAACAACAAAAGCCTACTGTGGCACTATAGGATAAGCACTGGACTGCTAATAGCAAGACTGGCAGTTCAAACCACTAGTCGCTCCATGGAAAGCCTATATAGCATTGCTATGAGTCAGAACCAACTCTATGGCATTTAACAACAACAAGAAGCCAATGAAGGGACCAAAATTGAGCATCGATTAAGAATTTATTTTGTTGCTTTGTTTACCCCCTCAGAATCCAACTACCAATCATGCTTTATTGTTAAGAGATTTACAACATCACAGTGTCACAATAGGAACTTGACAATGCCTTTTAATTTGGAATAATCTAAACCAGTAGTTCTTAATTATGCTCTTGCAGAGATCTAGTGATTTTCATGCAAGATTTAGGTATTTTGTTGCTAAAATTGAATAATGGCTTTTGTTTTGCTTTACCATACTCATTTAAATAAGTAAACAAATAATAAATACAGTGGGAAATTGGGAGGATAGTCTATTATGCTTAATTTAACAGATTATTTTTCTTTTGTTTTGGTTAAACATCAATTAGTGGTTATGTTTGTGGCAGAAGCATATGATATTATCATATGTTGCAGAAAAGTCTTAATTTGAACAATGTAATTAAATTTATAAGCATGTTATGGTAATTTAGAGATAGCTCCAAGTGCTCACTATGTATGAAATTTTCTTGAGTAATAATGACATAGAAAATGTGGAAAATCTCTTATTAAAATAGTGATACCACTATTTTAAGCGGTTAAACAAGGCAATGTTTAAAATTCCAAAGTGAAGTCTATTATAGTACAGAGAAACATGAATACGTAGATAAAGACTGAATTGGACCATGCCATTCTGCCTTCAAAAAACATTTTTTTAAAAAAATTTACCTTAGAATGTTGCATTAGACCATACTCTGGCCCTTTAGCCGGATGAGATCAGTTTTGTTCTATAAGTCTTGATTGCTTGTGTCCTATAAGAAATCAAGATGATTCAAAACTCACTGATAAAGTAAGCTCATGAAGAGGAAAGGCTGTCATTTCTAATGTTGATCACAGAAAAATGAGAAGATGTTTTGAAGATTAGTAGTTGAGTATTTTAACTGTCATCAGAGCCCCTCTTGATAATTTTAAATAGACTGAAAAAAAAAGGCAAAAAAAAAAAAAGGATGAGAACAAAGGGACATGAAAGAGAGGCCATCTTAAATGTAAGAAAAATCAGCAGGACATTTTAAGTATTCAAATAATACTGATGTTGTCAGGTGCCATTGAGTTGGTTCCAGTTCATTGTGACCCTGTGCACAACAGAGGGTCCTGTGCCATGCCTACAATTTTTTGTTACAATTGAGCCCATTGCTGCTGCCACTGTGCTAATCCATCTCGTTGGGGGTGTTTCTCTTTTTACTGACCCTCCACTTTACCAAGGATAATGTTCTTTTCCAGGGATTGGTTCCTCCTGATAATATGTCTGAAATATGAGAGAAGAAATCTCATCACCTGGCTTCTAGGGAACATTTTAGCTGTATTTCTTCCAACACAGATTTGTTTGTTCTTCTGGAAATCCATGGTACTTTCAATATTCTTCTCCAACACCATAACTCAATTCTTAAATATATTAGCATGTCATGGCAATCTAGAAATAGCTCCAAGTGCTCACTATGCATGAACTTGTCTGAGAAATAATGGCATAGAAAATTTGGAGAATATCTTATTAAAAGAGCTCTTGGTGTGGCTGGACTGCAAACCACAGGTCTGCAGTTCAAACCTACCAGCTGCTCTTCAGACACACTATGTAGGGTCACTATGACTCAGGATCAACTTGATGGTACTTAACAACAACAACAAATCTTATTTTAAAAAGCAATACCATTAAGTGGTTAAACAATCCTATGCTTAAAATTCTATTGGTTGGCTGATTATGTAACGTGAAGTTGGTTCCAACTCATGGCAACCCTATATGGGG